CCTCACAGAGAATGATGTTACCTGGGCCAGGTTGCTAATAATAATTTAGCTTCCACCACTTTTAACTAATACAACATACAGAAATGCATTATACTGTAAGCTCATATTATACAAGCTGATGTACACAGTCAGTTCAAGACAGATACTTTCTGAGAACACAACAAAATTCAACTATCCACACTACAAAAACTGTAGTCCAGGGCTGAAACCATTACATTAATTGTATTATTAATAATGTTTTGTTTGGCTAATCAAAACAATACACCTCTGCCAGCTTCATGTGCAATATCAAACCACTATCCAATATACTGCATGCTTGTATTTTAAATCAAATCTGTGTTCTAAACACAAGTACATGCACAAATAATTTAGAAACTCATATACTCATTCATGTAATGAGTTCAGCTTCTTCCCTCATTTTGCGAAGTTTATCTTAGTTCTTTGACCAATCTATTGTTACCACTGAACAAAGGCCCTCATTCTTCAAAGCATGGAGTGTTTCTGTAGTAGGGGGCGGGGAGAGTGTTATCGCAGTGAACTGAAAGCCCAGTGGCTCTTCTGATGTGCAGACAGGCGCAGAAACTGGGTTCAAAAAAATGAATATATAAATAAAATTCATACAAAGTGCGCATGTATATATAATGTCATCAAGGTTGTCAATTTTCAGTTTAGCCTGTCACCTTAATAATTCTGCATATTGTTGGGCCTTTTCAGTATAAGGTAATATTCATACATTTTAATGTTCGATATTTATAAGTCCTGAAGCAAAACCAGTTAAGAACTACTTTTTCAGTGAATCCAAACTTCTTTCCTGACAACTTCTCCATGTGTGGAGCCCTGTCTATGCTTCATATGCATTATTGAAGTACTGTCTGATTAACACTGGGATGCTCCTGACATCATGAGACAGTGAAAAAATGTTCTTCCTCTTCAGACAGATGCCAAGCCACTGTTTGCTTTAGCCTGCTGGGAAATACAGCTCCAGCTCAACTCCAGTTACTGCCAAAACAACCAGAGCCGGCCTCTGTCTCGCCACAGTACAGTAAGAACCCTTTCACATGCTGTCTGTGTTCACTTCCTCTTCTACTGTCATCTGTAGGAATGCTTTTTTTTTGACACTAGTGATCTCTCTCTGCATGAGCCTCTCAGAATGGATTATATTATATTATATTTTATATGTAGAAGCTGCAAGCCTTATTTCTCTTGTTTTAAAGCTTGTCAAAACAAAAATGAGTTGTGTGAATGGCCTCTTTGGAATTTCCAGCAAATTTAGCCACTGAATTACAAACTCCTTCTTTACAAACTCCGCCCCCAACAAAGATCAACAGGCAGAAAGCAGCTCAAAGCCTTCTGATTGGCTAAAATATAAGACACATCACAGTGCTCAGTTTATTCTGTACTTCTTAAAATTGGCCAATGCTTATATTCACTCATCAAGATTGTAAATCATGACTTTACATAACAGACTTTGTGTTTGTTGGCTGATGATTTTGCCTTATATTACAGAAACAAAATAATTTCCAGCTACTTTAAGAAAGCCTGCATATACATTTATGTTATTACTCACACAATTATCTAAGCCTCCTACACAAAGTAACAAATAAGCACTAACAGCTAGTCTTTACTCAATTTAATATATTCATTAAAAGCAGAACAATAAGAAATAATGGAATTATTATTTTACGACTCCCACATGGCACACAGACAAAACTGCACAGTTAATACTCTAACAGACTACGGGAAACTATTTCACCATTTCACTTGTGAATGATGCATTGTCTTACTTTCCTACCAACTGGAACATCTACAATTCTGCAACAGTTAAAACCAATATACTTTGGTGTTATACACGTAAAAATCAACATGACAACATGAGAAAAAATTATTATTCACTGCACTACAAAATTTAGTATATCCTGCATAGTACTGATAAAATATCTGCTACTCTACCTTATATACAAATAATAACAATCATACTGCTTGTAAAAGTAGCAAAAAAAATTTAATAATATTATTACAGGTTTTTTTTAAGTAGTATGATATGCAGGTCTTAATAATGCATATATTTATTTATTTATAAGGCTAATTTTATAATCATGGAGGAATTTTGTAAAAATCCCTTGTTGTATCCCTGACATGGTGTTGGGTGGAGCAAAACTGCTGCTGTACAGGAAATACTATCACTACCGCTGGCACTATTTAAAGCAGTCTATATGGCAACTCTTCTATTTAAAAGCTCAATCTAACCCCACCCATTCACTGCCAGGGTCACTAACAATTGGTGTCAGACAGGCAGAGCAGACATATAAAGAGTAATGACACAAGCTAATTGTTGTTTCACCTCAAAATGGATGGTGATTATTAAGGAACCACTGCAATAACAGGCAAGAGCTTTTAATGGTCGAATGTGGCATACATAAATGTGGCTTACATGTGCTTATTGTGCACCACATGCCATTGATCTAGCATAAAAACTACACTAGCTGCATCTTGAAAATATAATAAAATGAAAGTATTATGTTAATTTGAACATAATAACAGCAAGAAACAGTAAACAGGTAAGAAACAGCAATACGGTCACATCCTGTCAGCCTTTTGTTATATACTCAAGTATCTCAAATGATCTGTTTTGGGGTTCCATATAGCTGACATTCAGGTTCAATGATCCATGAGAAGGTTTGGGACGTCCAGGGCAAAGATGAGAGGATGGGAACAGGATGAGAGGAAAAATGTAGATTCTTACATGAGGAACCAATTAGAGGGTCAATAATTCTTTCAAAATATCCATGTAATGTAACAAGTCACAGTGAATGAACAAATTAAAGAAAGAGAAACAACCCAATTTAAGTGCACCACAAACAGATGCCTAATACCTGACCTTTGACTCAAACTGAGTGTGAGAAAGCCCTTCTACTCTTCCTATCCTCAGGAAAGAGTAGTAGCCCTACATGCATATTAACCTACTACAAACTATATTTTTTCACAATTCATCAAGGTGGACATGGCAACTCCAACCAGACTTGATTAGAGGCAAAAATAGCTTGGGAGTTAAAGCAGGCTGGAAGCATCATTTTGAAACCACCGGGTGAAGTGGATTACCTTCCTATTTTACACCTTCAGGTAATCCACGCATGGCTAAGCCTGTACTAGTCACACTAAGAGACTCACCTCTGTCACATCTATTTGAGGCTTCAGCGACTGTCGCTATTACTTTTTGCTACTGCGTTACCTAACACCTAAAGTCCTGAGATCTGTCACTCACACGTTTGGTTTTCTATCAAGATGGGGACCTCCACTGACTTATAGCTTTTATACTGAGCAAATGATAACTTATATCTCCTAACCCTAAATCTAACCCTCACAGAAACCATTCTGTAGTTTTATGGTTTCATTAAGACATCATTTAGTAAGTGATTTCACAATATTAGTGATTTTACTTTCCTTGTAGACAAAATGTAGGTAAAATCTACATAATACATGTCTTTCATAATATATTATGCATTAAAAAACCTAAAATATGTCATTTTTGCTCTAATATTCCCTTCATATATATATATATATATATATACAGTATACACATGTACATATATATACATTCATATGTGACCCTGGACCACAAAACCAGTCATAAGGGTCAATTTTTCGAAATTGAGATTTATACATCACATGAAAGCTGAATAAATAAGCTTTCCATTGATGTATGGTTTGTTAGGAATAGGATAGGACAATATCTGGTCGAGTTACAACTATTTGAAGATCTGGAATCTGAGGGTGCAAAAAAAAAAATCTAAATATTGAAAAAAATCGCCTTTAAAGTTGTCCAAATGAAGTTCTTAGCAATGCATATTACCAATCAAAAATTAAGTTTTAATATATTTAGAGTAGGACATTTACAAAATATCTTCATGGAACATGATCTTTACTTAATATCCTAATGATTTTGGCATAAAAGAAAAATCTATAATTTTGACCCATACAATGTATTTTTGGCTATTGCTACAAATATACCCCAGCAGCGACTGGTTTTGTGGTCCAGGGTCACATATATGTTTGTGTATATGTTATACAGCAGATGTACAGAATGAGTGAACGAGTTTGTTCTGACGTTTCTCCACATGCCTCAATAAATTGCATAACATGTTGTAATCCATATACAAGGAGTGGATGACACACATAATCTGATGTCACAAAGAATACATGCCATTTTACTTATGTCACGGTAAATTGTAGAAACATTTTATGCTTAAATCCCCTTAACCGATCAATTAGACTTGGATTTAGCATGATTGTACATCAGAAATGACATGAACCACTCATGCAAAAGGACAGACAAGAGTGTTTGGGAACAGGTGACATGATACTGAGTTTATCTGATCCAATGTTATAAATAAATGATATGTTCTCGTCAGGCCGACAGTTACATAAAAACCTCCGTCACACATGTGAAATAAACCATCCCGTTTCTTCCTCCAAAACACAGCTGACAGCGGTGTTCACATGCACACACTGAATTACACACATGAACACCTCCCTCTAAAGAAACGGCCTTGAGCAGACACACGATTAAAAATGAGTGCTGCGTTACAGTATGATGTGTACGTGAGTATGTGTGTGAACTCTATATACAAAGAGAATTCAGAGGCGGCCAGCTGGGCACATAAGCCGTAACTGCAAAATCCAAATAATCCTTTACAAAGAAAAGCCATCTAAAGGGGGGTGATGTGAAAACACAAAGAAAAAAAACTGCATATATGCCTGCTGTTGTACAATAGAGTGCAAATGCATATATGTGTGTGTACATATGAGATGTGTGTGTATGTGATGATTTGTGTCTATATTTGAGATATCCAGCACCTTCAGTTCTATATTGAGTTACCGGAATGTCAAGCCACTCAAAATAGGCGGACAGCTTATGGCATTTAAAGTCAGCACACGCCGGGCCGTACACGCAAAGAGAGGCAAAGAGGAGCCAATAAGATAAAAATAGACCAAGCCCTCACCTTCCATCATGATTGCAGATTTGCATTCCTCTATCTCCAAGGAGCCTGAAACGGGAGGAGGGGAGAAGAGAAGCCCCTGGTTACCAGATGGAGAGATGTAAAAAAAAAAAAAACAGAGCACACTTCCAGCCTCGGCTTTAAAGTCCCCGTGTCCCTGGTACGACGGGCCAGTGGATGTTTTAGGGCTCCGCGTTTTACACTTCCAGCCTCGGGTTTAAAGTCCCCGTATCCCTCGTACGACGGGCCGTTGTTTTAGGACTCCGCGGTTAGGCCATGGATGCTGCTTCTAGCCACTGCGGCTGTGGTCTACACGATCACCAAAGGATGCTCAAAAGAGGGCAGGAAAAAAAGCAGAGTGGAGAGAGACAGAGAGAGAAGGAGGGAGGGAGAGAGGGAGGGAGGGAGAGAGGAAGGGAGGGAGGAAAGCTTGCTGAGGACATCGTTCAGCTCAGCCAATCCCGTGGGCACTGCTGCATGTCACATGGCGAGCGGTTCATTGCTTCTGTCAGCGTCCTCACTGGGAATTCACATACACGAACACACACACACACACACAAGCACAGAGCTTACCTTGTTATGGTGCAGCGTGCCGCTCCTGCCAGAACAGAAAGGAACAGGATTAATGGGGCGTTGGGTGCAAAATACAGGAAACTGTCCATAAGAACATGACTGAGATACAGTTTCTTCACGGTTACATTTGTAGATATAAACGTTGAGGCTCAGCTGGCAGCCCGTGCCTGTCTATTTGCCTGTTTCTCTCTGTGGCAAATCAATCAATGAGAGAGAGCTGCTGGGAGGGAGAGAGGGAGGGAGGAAAGCTTGCTGAGGTCATCGTTCAGCTCAGCCAATCCAATCTCAGCCAATGTCACATGGCAAGCGGTTCATCGCTTCTGTCAGCGTCCTCACTGGGAATTCACATACACACACACTCACACAAGCACACAGTTTACCTTGTTATGGTGCAGCGTGCCGCTCCTGCCAGAACAGAAAGGAACTGGATTAATGGCACGTTGGGTGCCGCACAGCTAAACACAGGAAACTGTCCATGAGAACAGACACAGACTGAGATACAGTTTCTTCGCGGTTACATTTGTAGATGTACACGGTGAGACTCAGCTGGCAGCCCATGCCTGCATATTTGCCTGTTTATCGCTGTGGAAAATCAATCAATGTGACTTTACATCTGACAGAAACAGTAGCTTCCCCATGGAGGGTGGAGCCAGCACTCAATACACTGACTTGTGACAGAGGAGGAGGGGAGGAGAGAGAGGCTGTGTGTTTGTGTGAGGGCTGGTGATTCATTTAATATGAGGAGGTGGGTCGCTCCATTTGGATTACTAATGAAAAGACAAAAAAGGTTGGATGGACTAAAAAAATTCTACTTCTTTCACAAAAGCACCAGCTGCAGTTTTGATAAAATTTAAAATAGGGGCTGATCATATTGTGAGGAACATATTCTTGAATTTTACTTGATTTAAAATAATACGTTTAAAATGTTGATGTTTTTTAAAAAAAATTAAATTATAAATATAAAATATCTAATGTACACTATCATTCAAAAGTTTGTGGTCAGTAATATTTTTTTATGTTTTTGAAGACTTATGCTCACCATGCATTTATTTCATCAAAACATACAGTTAAAACAGTAACATTGTGAAATAGTATTGAAATATAAAATAACTATTTTCTTTTTTATAGTATTATATTTTTAAATATTTTTAAAATGTAATTTATTCTTGTGCTGGCAAAGCTGAATTTTTCTTTAGAAATCATTGTGATATGCTGATTTGGTGCTCAACATTTCTTATTATTATGAGTTGAAAACAGTTGTGCTGCTTAATATTTTTGTGGAAACTGTGATCATTTTTTCAGAATTCTTTGATGAATAGAAAGTTCAAAAGAACAGCATTTATTTGAAATATAAATCTTATTACGCTATCACGTTTGCTCAATGATATGCATCCTTGCTAATAAAAGTACTGACCCCAAACTTCTATATGCTGTGTGTGTGTGTGTGTGTGTGTGTGTGTGTGTGCAAAACTGAAAATGCAAGATTCTGACATTTCTTTAAATGAGCATTTAAATGTTAAAACTGAGTCCTCACAAGGACTAGGATACAAATATGTGTGTATACTGTGTGGCTATTCTCCAACCTGCCTGACTCTTTTTATTCTCATGGTTAAGACAAGATGCTGTTTCATTCTCAAGCCTCTGTTCACCTAAGTCATGCTCTGGTCCATGTGAGCGTCTCTTTCCCTTATCACGGTCTGTCTAGCACCCTCTGTCTGTAGTCTTCCGCCTGTTTGAAAACAATGCAGGCCACAGAGAGCCAAACCTTGATGGGGATACCCACCCACCCACACTTAGCTTCCTCTCAATCCTGAAAATGTGGACACATTCTCAATCTGTACTATGCCTCAACACAGTCTGCCCTACCACAAAACATACCCAGAATCACACCACCCTATTACAGCAGATGCCGTCTTGTGAATACCTCCCTTCCCCCACTCCACCCATTTCACCCCACCTCTATAACCCCCCTACACCTCCCAGTGGACCCGATCATATCCTTCCAGTGTGCAGGTGCACGTGTTTGTGTCTGTGTGTTTAAACATATTGGTAAATAAAGCCTTAAGGTCTAATCTCAACTAGAAGAACAAACTGTAATTTTTCTGCAACTCACTTTGACATTATTTTATTCAGCTTGTCGCTATTAGTAAGGAAAACGGACTTTGGCTGCTCTCACAACAGTGCAGCAGGAGAGAGAGTTATATGGACAAACACACTATTTAGAAGCGGAAATAACCCTAACTGAATGAATGTTATTGCTGTGTGCAATATTACAACATCTAAATAGATTTTTAAAAATCATGTTTTATATTTTGCTATACATATATTACATTTTTTACATTACTGTTCAAAAGTCTGGGGTCAGTAAGACTTTTATATGTTTTTGAAAGATGTCTCTTATGCTCGTTTTTATTTGATCAAAAATACAGTAAAGTAGTTTTCTTGCTAAATATTTTACAATTTACAAGAACTGTTTTTGGTTTAAAACACTTTATTTTGATGGTCCCTTTTGAACATTCTGTTGACGATAAGTATGTTTCACCTACTATACATGTCTACTAACTGTAGCGTATGGACCAATCAGACTCACCGTTTTTCATTAGATTTAACAAATCAGTTATTCATTAGATTAACAAATGGTCACAGACCCCTCACCCAATAAACATACTGGGTGCCAGGATGTCTGCGAACGACACCAGGCCCCTGGTCACCATGGCAACCACGACACCTTTTGCTAGACCAGATACACTTTACGACCTATGTCACAGGAAGCGCTAACTTCACATAGCACACGCGACGCCATGTTGTAAACAAACCACCTTAAGCGGCTAAGCTAACACGACTTAGCATAGTTTCATCTTAGGCTAAGCTACCAAATAGCTTTAACAATTAGGGGTTAGCACTCTTTAATTGAAGCTTTTAAATACAGCATGTGTGTATGCAGTGTGAAGTAATTTGAACTTAACCTAATCCCTGGTTTCTGATTTTTCCCTTTCTTTTCCTTCTTTTTCTTCTCTTTCTATGTTTCCCAATCTTTAATTCGTCTCAGCGAATTTAACTATCTTAGATGTATCCTTCCTGAATGCTATTGCTCAGTTACTAGTTAATTAAATCTAAATTTAATTACATTTTAACTGTCTATCTAGAGAAGAATCATTAAGTTGTTGGGTGCTTTTAGTGGCACAGTGAATAACGCGCTACGGAGGGCGGGGCACACACATGGCAAAATCACAGCATGGGAGCTGAACACGCAGCAGCTGTGACCAGACATGGTGTGTTGCCCAACACAAATCAGTTAATCACGAGTGCTACTGATTGTTCCTAATATCAGATTGATTACCCTGTTTTAATAATAGCAGTCAGCTAATTTTAAATCCATTTACATGTTATGCCCCCTTTTGTTCCACTTTGATTTGATGATCTCTCTGAACCTCAAAATGAACCAGAGACACTTTTATTTTTGATTTGTTTATTTTCAACATGTGTTCTAATTTTATGACCCTGTTACACAAGTCATCTAGACAAACACTAGGGCATAACTATCGTCCTGAGCACCAAATAATAAGCATAATCTGAATAGAAATGCTCTCCTTTTCCTTTTCCCTCTTCTACTTCACTTCCTCAGAGATTGAGCCTGTTGTGATCCATCAGTAAGTTCTGAGTGATAATTTGACAATAAGAGTAGTCTTAAGTCATCAATCAAAACCCTGTTTACGCCCTTTTCAGCAAACATATGCTGACCCAAAAATAACCTAATACTTCAGCTAAGCACACCTGGCAAAACCTAGCTGTAAAACCTAGCTCCACACTCTGTTTGATCTTGTATTAGTCTCTAGCCCTTACTCTCAACACGAGTTTGCCAAAATGTTGCAGATGCTCAGACTAACTGCCCAGAATGCAGACCAAAGAGGACTGGCCAGGCGTTGTGAGGAACACCCCCTACCCAGGGCTGACGACCACCTACTGCACCCGAGCCAAAAGCAATTGGACACTGAGGGAAGAGTACTACTGACTCATGACTCAAGCGAGAGTTATGGCTACAAAGAGCTCACCAAGATCATCATCTTCCTGGCCCACAACCTCATGGGTCTGAAACAGGAGGTAAATGATCTCAAGCAACAGATCACGGCGGTATCCCACAAGGACCCCAGCAGAATGGAGTTACAGGAGGAAATCAATAGACTTCAAAAGGCTCTGACAGCTGCTGAACAGCAAGAGCACCTGGAAAATGTAGCCAGAAAGGACCTGGAAAGGAAACACCCACACAAAATTACTATTAAAGCAGCAAATTCTGAGCTCTTAGACAAAGTTGCCAGAATTGAGACTCTGATCCAGCAGCTGAACAACACTCAAGACAAGCTTGACATGGTCCAAAGAGAACTCAGGTACTCTTATAGGCTGCAAAAGGAAACGCAGTGGGAGAGACACCCTACTCCTGCATCCTCACTCAGCAGTGCAAACTCCCTTACGTGCACTAAGCTACGAAGGGGGGAGCCAACACTTTCTGCTTAACAACTCAGCAGACAGAACCACAATACCTCCAACAACCACAGGGAGGGGGGGTCCCTTCCAAGCATCCCTGCAGCAGTGCATGATGTGACCCCCAGAGACCTTGACAAGCTAGCCAGAAAAATCCCAGCATTCACATGGCCAGGAAAATAATAGTTTTCCTACTTTATGCAGTACTAGCAGTAATTTAGAACGGTGGCGTCGTTTTAAACATTGCTTGCAAGCAGACCCAGTAATCAATCTTATGTGTCTGTCTCATAAGTTTAGTAACTTCTTATACATGCGCATACCAGTTTCTGATCAAAATCAGATAAAACTATAGCTTGAATGTGCCTTCCTACAAGTAGTAGAAGTTTTCAGTGCTATAATGTGTTTAAATCGTACGATAAGAAACTAACCTGATTTTAGCGAAGAAATCCTCATTTCTGTTGTTAGTGGAGCATAGGTCTTTTCTGACAACGGAACCTCAGATTAGCAGCTCATATAAATGGTACCAGAATAAATCGGTCTGATCTTGGGCGAAGAAATCCCCTTTTTCAGCACTGTGTAGGTGATCTGAGCGATGCTCCTCATTTCACTAATTTAAGGCCTTATTATGTGTTACGTATCATTGTATTTCATTTTGACTCACTCATGTGAAACATTTACGTAAAGTTAATGGTGTTATTCTAGCGTAGCTAACTACGCATCCACCATTGCCTGTGAAGTGAATGTGTTGTTTTGATTAATGAATGAATTTGTATGGGACATGTCATAACTGACTGTTATGCCCCGCATGAGTTTCCCATGCATGTTCACAGCAGTGCAAGTTCTGCTCCCCTTGCACCTGATGTGAGTTTGCATTTGTCTCCTAGCAACACGTGACCCCGGGAGTGTGAGCAGACTCTTCCGGTTAATCTGACAACAGCACCCACTTCACAGACCTTTGTGTAAACAAAGAACTGCGTGTAGCCAACGCTAACTCTTTAGCAGCCGCACAGGTATTTAAGCTAAGCCCTTTACCTCAACTGCTAGCTGTTAGCATCCGACTAACACTTGGATAGGTGTGTAAAGTGTAACTTTCAAACCACTCCTCTCTCTCTCTCTTTCTATCCCCATCACTCCTGGTTTCACTTCCTGTTTATGCTATCACCTTATTTTTGGATTCAGTTAGGTCGGTCCCTCCCCACATTCTTTGGTTTTACTTGTGTTATTGTTTATTTTTGTTTTGACTTTATTCTACCTCTCTTTAATTTTATTGCATTTATTTACATTTGTTTAGCACGAATGTACCAATTCAGCTAAATTGATTTTTATTAAATACCCTACCAGTCTACTAATACTCTAATGAGAGTTAGTAGACATGTAGGTGCAACGTTACTTATAGTCAACAGAACGTGTTAAAGGGACCATCAAAATAAAGTGAAACCCTGTTTTCTATTTGAACACATTTTAAAACGTAATTTATTCAAGCAATGGTAAAGCTGAATTTTCAGCAGCAATTATTCCAGTTTTCAGTGTCACATGATCCTTTGGAAATCGTTCTGTATGAATAGCTAATTTGCTGCCCAGGAAACAGCTCATTTGCGGTCTTCTTATCAGTGTTGAAAGTTTGAAGTTTGATATTGCTTATTATCAGTGTTGGGGAAAGTTACTTTTAAAAGTAATGCATTACAATATTGCGTTACTCCCTAAAAAAGTAATTACGTTACTTAGTTACTTTTTATGGAAAGTAATGCGTTACATTACTTTTGCGTTACTTTTTAAATATAAGCATAAAATGGGATTAGATACATTTGTGTTATTTAACATTTAATTATTGCAGGTTTGCGTTATATTCTGAGTTTGCATTTCACCGTTTTAATTCATTTTGATGAATACTAAATCGGGTTTTTTTGTGAGTGGGATGAATTAATGCACATTCACATTTACTCTAGAACAGGGGTGGGCAAACTTGGCTCTTCCAGGCCACTTTCCTTCAGAGTTTCGTTATCCCTCAGTAACAACAGGTAAAAGCTGATAATACAGGCTCATCATTTAATTATGTCATCTATATCGCAGACCCGCTCTGTCGTTTCATACAAGCGCAGCTGCTGCCATTTTGTGACTATTGTTTTGTACAATTTAATGGATTATAACATAACAAACAGTTAAGATTTCAAAACAGTTTAATCTCAAATCAATATCTCTTATTCCCATAATTATTTATGTCGTGAAATGCTGTGTAATAAGTGGTATGACTGTACATATCCCTTAAATGTCCGTCTAGTTTGAACTTGCTGCTTGCTAGCAACTAGCTGATCATTTTTTTCAGGATTCTTTCATGAATAGAAAGTTCAAAAGAACAGCACTTATTTGAAAGAGAATATTTTAACAGTGTAACAATATAAACATTTTAAGGTTATTTTTGATCAATTTAATGCATCCTTGCTGAGTGAAAGTGAAAAGAAATACTGACCCCAAACTTTTGAATGGTAGTGTAGCTAAAATAGAGACAAAATATATTACAGTACACACAAGGTTACAATTAAACATGATTTAAAATGCTACAAATCATGAACCATCTACCATCAGCCACAAACTTCAGTCAACATCCTCCCAAACCCGCCTGGGTTCAAAATATTTGTCAAAGGATATTTGTGGGAAAGAGCAAAAGGGTGGGGGTAAACTCACACCTACTTTCACACATATAAATAACTCAAATGTAAGAAAAATAGAGACAAGGGAGGAAAGCCAAATGAAGCAGACAAAATAAATAAATAAACAAACATACTATAGCTGTATCCGAAATCACCACCTATTGCCTCATTCACTATTCTCTATATAGTGTGAATTCAGACACTGATAAAATTGTTGCAAAAACATTTCAAAATCATTTCACTTGATGAGACCATTTTGTCTGTATACTTTTCATTGCTGTGCATTATGGGACTGAATGAGTGTACTATAGAAAACCTCCACTTTAGACACCTCAAAATGAGAATCATAGGTTATATGTAGAATGTTGGACAAAATATTGTTTTTGATGAGTTCAAAATTAAAAATACAACCGATTGAAGGTTTGTTTTCAGACAATATATATGTGAATAGTTGGATATTAGAAAGGTCAAGACTTCTCAGGCATTTTTTATAAGGGATACGACATTTGATACTGCCTACTTGCCATGGTTCAGTGGTTTACTTTTCTGTTGAGTTTATACTGTACCTCTAGTGCTTTCACAAAAGTCATGGGACACCAAAGTGCACCATATTTGTGAAAATTGGCACCAAAAACTTTCAGAACTCAACATACTGTATTGTGCAATACAAAAAATAGCACTTCAGTAACACATCATGAAAAGGAACACAGTGACAATGAGACCCAGAGTAGAGCACATATGTGCAGACAGACGCATACAAAATGATGCTACCACACCAACACAATTTCAATAACTATCCAGTAAGAGGCTCTTTAGTCATCTTTATCAATCTCTATGAGACACAATCAGCAGCGTCTCTAGGTGCTAAGTAAAGAGATGAAAGGGACTGTGATGGACTGTGTCAAAGAAACTGGAAGCAGATATACAGCAATCTGAAACATGAAAGAACACACAGGTCAGAACAGTCCAATTATTTCTCTGCAGAGGACAAACACTAGCACACAATGACAAGAACCCAACAGAGTACAAACACACCGTACAACCACGTACATAAACCACAACACAGATGGTATCATGTGAATCTGCATTAATAAATCTTACACACACACACACAAGATCAAGAAAACATTCAAAAATATCAGCTACAAATTAAAACAAGTTCCTGTAATTCAACTGGTAGAGCATGACAGTAACAATGCCAATATCATGGATTTCATCCTCAAAAAATGAATGTTGAATGCACTGTAAGTTACTTTGGATAAAAGCGGCCAAATGTATTGTAAATATAAATGACTACTTGTCACTGCAGCCGTTGTAAATAAAACACAAGCTTTGATAGTTTTGACAGATGCATGATGTGTCTGTTAAAGATCTTGGTTATGTAAATATAGTTCTGTGGACATGCCAGGGTCAGTGACATTGTGCAGGGGGGCCATATTTATATCACTTTCCAATGCCGTGAAAAGTGAGACAATACTCAGTGTAGAGTTAACAAACTAAAAAAGCGTTTCTTTTCACGCATTTGTTTATTTGAAGCTGTAATTCAATAATTTATAATTCATTCATTATTCAAGTATATTTATTAATACTTAAAAGAGCATAAACCTCTCAAATGACTTGTCTCAATAAAGAGCCCGTTTATGGTATATGTTTGCTGCTCCTGTTTCAATGCAAAAAATAAATAAGTAAATACTCCGCTAAATTTAGTGAGTGATCTGTAAATTGTATTTTGAACATAAAAATCACATTGCATGCCAAAAATAAAATTATATTATAAAAAAAAGCAAAGTGTTAATTTTACAAGTTAATCCGTGTATAATATCAATAAAATTGAATCCTGGGATAAGAATAACACCCAACTAAATATTTCTGTAGTGTGCAACATGTATAATGTGCTTAGTTTCCAAATTTTCTAAATGCATGAAATATACTATACTTTTGCTTAAATATGTAGTATATAACCGAGCACACTGTGTAATAGGCCTACTGTATCCCACAATGCAATGCACTAAACTTGACCATACATTTCAGTCTGGCAAATTAAATGTAAATAACATCAACTAATATAATAAACTAAAAATATCAAAATAACTTCAGCTCTCTTTCTTGTATATATCAGACTTTTAAAAATAAAATAATAATACTTTTAAAATGAAAAGAAAATTAAATAATCATACTTATAAATTAAACAAACATACTTATATTTCTGAGATGATAAAAGACAGCACTCGAATCGCATTAATTGTTTTAAGGTCTGGCAACAATTTAGCACCCCACCATTCAAAAATATGAATGGTTGCATATTCAATACTGCTTCTTAAAAAATAGAAGGCAGTACATTATATAATATACGCAGTATGCAATTCTGAACATTACAGTGCAACACTGCCACCTTGTGCTAGTCAGCTAGTCAACATGAGAAATGATCTGTATTTTAGACCAAAAAAGAATATTATATTAAATCAAATAAATATAAAAATATCCTTATTTAAATAACAGATACCCCTTCTGTTGATATTCTTCATTTCTGGTTTGGTAAGAATGTGCAAGTTTCCTCCTGACTGAATTAACCAGAAAAACTAAATGCACCACAGTATAGAGGATGATGAATCTGCAAATTAATGGAACAGAAACTGTTCCTGATTTCAGTAAAATAGCTGGAGTGAGATTTACTTTTTAATTCAAACTGTGCTAAGGATACAACAGAGATTGCATGTCCATACGTGTCCACTGGAAACTAATTAAAAGAACTAACTGGTATTTTTTGTTGCTGCCGGTATAAAATCACCTTTAAAATCGTATGTTCTTCTGTTATGTACAAATAAAAGAGCCTTTTACTGTCAGATAAGGCCTAGTTATTATCAAAAACCACATACTTTGTAAAACACCTCTCAATGTTTGATGAGAGACTGAAGCTATGCTGACACTATTCTGTCATAAGGTTTTGGGCAAATATATGGTATGGGAGAAAATTTAACAGACAGAAAGACAGATACATCAAAAGACAAATGTGTGACAGTAAAGAAAAAGAGAGAGAAAGAGAGAGAGAGAGAGAGAGAGAGAGCGAGAGAGACATGGAACATGTAGCCAGCTGTGATATTCTCAAGTCTCCCTTCTGTCTCCTTCATCCCACTATCTCTCTCTCTCTCTCTCACATCTCGGTTTTTCTCCTGCAATTCTCTCCTCCTTCACATTTGCTGACCTACTTTCCCCCTCAAGTGTTATTTTAGTCTCCAATAGATGGCAGGCAGGTTCTGGGCGTCTGCATCATTAGTCTTCACGTATGGCGATGCACACTAGTAGCTACAAACTGATTTAGAAATGGGTGAGTGCATGTGCTGGGTGTGCACCTGTTTGGCCTTAATTGTTTGGTAAATGGCTGCTTATCTGGGGATCTTCGGAGGGTGTGATCGACATGTAAACGTGTAATTCTGCCACGGTGCTGCTGGAGTCAAAAATAGGCCCCAAAGTGCTGCCGAGTTCAAAACCGCCCACAACTGCCCATCTCACTGGGTGTGATTGTCCCTCAAGACAAAGTCCGCCCATAGGCGTTGATAGATCCCTATTTAGGGGGCCTAAATCTAGGCAGTGGCTATCACAGCAGACATAGGGGGCAACGTCTGACACGTGCACTGCGTTTCTCATCTGAATGCTCTTGGTTCCAGTGAAATCACTAAATAAAATGCAAAGTACAAAAAAATATTTCACCACTACTGGTATTAAAAAACAGATTTACATTTATTTTCTATTATTATAAATGTTAATCTTAATTTATAAAAGTCATTTGAGCAAGATTTAAAGTCATTGTGTATACTGTACATTATAGTGTTGTGATGCCTAAATGTACTTGTAGCACTTCAAATGACTGATTTTACAGAATTTCTCAGTGCTTCATTTTCAACATATACTTTGATTCAAAAGTCTTGGGTCATTAAGATTTATTCATTTATTTATTTATACTGATAATAATAATATTAAATGTTTCTTGAGCAGTAAATGAGCATATTATAATGATCTCTGAAGGATCGTCCTGAAAATCGTACTGTCGTTGTAACAAAAATATATAGAATATTAACATCAGTCATAACATAATTATCTGTATCAATTAAAAAAAGTTTATTAGAATGGCCTTTTAATAATGAGGTGTTTACACAAAATTATATCTTCACAACTCACTGGCATAACCAAAGGACGAATTCCAGTAAAAGATGTACAAAAAAATAGTTTAGAATAACTTCATATCTTTTCATCTCAGTCAGAACCATTAAAGCTAATGAACAAAGTCAGTGCTACAAACGAGAGGTGATGCGGGTCATTCGCTTACATGAAACATACTCCGATAAACAATTTTTACAACCATCAGATTTACAGTCCAAGTGTCTTAAGTCTCGTTTTAACCTTTTTTTTCTGTATTTTAGTTTGATATTCAGCAATTGTTGCTGATATGAGATGCTGCGATATGCTCTAAAAGCTTCTCTAGCTCAACTCCTTTAGGTCAGCAAGTAGGCAGGAAGTGAGCTAATGAGGGTGTGTGAAAGTGTCCATCTTCTATACAGGGCACTGCTTGGCAAACGGCACGTAGGCAAAGGAGAGGAGCAGACGGGCACATTGCTAATCTGTGCCATCGCTCTGCACCAGGAATGTTGTTTTGGTTTGGGTCACTCCCGTAATCATCGTCGCTCATCGGCAACGGAACGAGAGTCAGTGTTACACAAAGCTTATGAAGACATGGGGACTTTCCACATAAGCAGACGTGTTTAACAGTTATCCTTCAGTAGTTTTGGGTTCAAGAGAGGCTATGACTTCATTAGTGTGCACTGATCTCAGTGCAAGCTAGTCTGAATCAGCAGTGCCTGTAAATGCTGTGAGGAAGGTACCCACCACGTTCTAGAATTGTAGATGATGTCTTTTTTTTTGTACGCCTGTCTGAAGAGTACAGACAGAAACGTCATGCTCATTCAGACTGACTGACGTGTCTTCTCAGATTGTTGAGCCTAATGTATTTTTAATGCAATTAAATAATTAAGTTGCATGATTATTGTAGCTTAAAATATGTGCTTGCTCCCTGTGGCAGAAATGACCTATTCACGTGGATAAGTTTAGACAATCCAATCAGATCAGACATTCAACACATAACTGAATCATTTAAACAGAATGCCACCCTCTTGTCAAAACTCACAGGATTTTCCTACTTTCCAATCAAAGGCATCTTTTAAAGCCCTTAATATAAAATATATGATCACAGTAATAGCACTTTAAAATGTAAATATGTTTTACTCCTATTTCTATTAGTGCTAATAAACTCTTCCCTCTGTCTCAAAATGTCTCCCCATACAAGACTAAAAAAAGATGTATAACTAAGATAAAAGAGCTTGAGGACTTATGAGAATCTAGGAACGACCTAATAAAAGCCAAACACTTTAAAGCAATATATTTTTTCACCTTATTAAAGAATCATTTAAAAGTAGTTCAATGACTGCAATAAATTATTACTCTATCATAACCAACTGATGCTATTAAAGACATATTTATGGGAAAAAGACATAATCAAAAGAATAATGCGCACTGAGCAGGTCATTATCACAAAATAAACCCAGAAAGGGTGATCAGGACCCCAACGGAAGCAAAAGAGTGCTGCATCATCCTGAAGGAGTTTATTTTGCGATATTGAGCGGCAGACTGAACATTACTTGCATGACATCTTGCTGAATAAATAAATAAATGGCCATGAAATACTGATATTAGTTGAAATTACTGAGAAGAAAGTGCCATGAGCCTGACTGCTTGTCAGGAACAACGTTCTAATGGACAGTTTGGTCATTATACCAAGACTACAGAATGCTGCACTAGACCAATCAATCAGCATCATCACATAAATTGATATTTTAAAGATTTTTGTAATCTTCACTCACATGATTTATTAATGGATAGA